AGGGATGCCTTATGCTACCATGGAGCTAGCATCACTTCTCTTGCTGCTTTCTTTAGAATAGTAAGATGCTTGCCATTCTGTAGCGAAGTCCAGAAGTTAGTAGGTCAAGAGTTAGAGAGATATATGGTTACCTTTATGACATGCTGTCTCAAATATTAATCCCGGTGTATTTTAGAGCAGAGGAATAAAGCACCATGTGAATAAGCCATTGTGAGAAGAGAGTGCAAATTTATGTTGATGCTTCTCTTAAGTGAATAATAAGTAGCTCTTATATTTTAACAGCATCTTGCAAATCCCTTTATGATGCAGCTGTCTCATTTCATATTCACAAACGTGTAAGGTGGATATTAATATTACCGTAATAATATAAATGATGAAACTAAGACTCAGAGAGGTTAGTATGGTGGCTACTGCCACCAAATAGGTTTTGTTTTTTTTTTTGGCTGAAAGGCAGTTAGGATATAAAAACTTGTCTTCACTGGGTACCACAAATTTCTTATATATAAGTTTTAATTTTCATTCCCCCTTTTCACCTTAATTACTGCCTTGGGTAATTTTTTTCTTTTTTCAAAAGCAGGACACGTGGGTTACATTTTTGTTGACTTGGCATATCTGAGAATGACTTCCACATTAGAGAGGTCACAGCATTTTCCTTCAGGAATCTGATAACATTTTCTTATTGTTTTCTAGAATATGGTTTTACAGAGAAATTTGAAGGTAGCCTGATTTTGCTTTTGTATGTAAATTCTTTCTCTTTCTAAACATTTTTGTCTATATTTTCACAGTTTGTCTTTTAATTACAGTTCAAAAATTTTTGCTGAGATACACCCATATAATGTCTGTTCACTGATTTTTATGTGGAACATGATAAACTATTTCCATCAGCAAACTTAGAAAATCTTTACTCATTTCAAAAGCATGTTCTTCAATTACATATTGGATTGTTGCTTCTATCCTGTTTTAATTTTTTCCTTTAGGGAATAGAATTCTTTTATTGGTTATCATCTTCTCTCATGATTTTTATGTCCTTTTCTACAAATTATTAGAGGATTTTTCACATTTGCCCTGTACATAAATGCTGTCTTCTGAGTAATCCATTCAGTTCTTTATTAACTCCAGCACAGATTTTATTTCTGCTGTTACATTTAAAATTTTTTGTAGTAATTCCTTATTTTACCCATTTCTCTTAGTTTCAGTCTCTCCTTTCTATTCCTGTTTCCTAGGGAATAGGCTGGTTTCCTTTTGGGTATGCCATATAGTTTATACATTGTTTCTACTAATGCTTATAGGAATATTTTAAGAGAACTGCTCTTTTTTTTGAGCTTCAGGCTGATACTACCTTTTTCTTGTCAAACAATCTTATTTTTTAGGCACGATTTTTTTTTTCTCTTCTGTTTCATTAAGGATAGATTGGTTCAGAATCAGTGTTTGCCAGTAAACAAAGGGTCTGGATTGCCCTTGACCCTGCTTTGTGTACTTGTTTGAGTTCCTTTCTATATCTTGAGCTCTAAAGTGAGTTGTTCATGTATAACCTCCAGTGTGTGCCTGTTATTAAAAGTCTGTCATCTGGTGCAGATTTTCCAAACAAAGCTGTCCATCTTGCTTCTCTTCATTGTCTTGCTCTTTGACATTCTAGTCCAAGAGTATAAGAGAGCCTATGAGTCTCAACATGCACTACTTGCATGCGTTTCCCTGTGTCTTTTCTCACTTTGCAAAGCTTTACTTATGAAGATTGTACCTCATCATACACCTGTGCCTCTGCCAGAACTGCCTTTCTCTCCACACCTGTCTACAACACACATATTTTCTGGGGTTTGCAGCTTCCTTCTGAGTACAGAAATATAGAAAGAGAGGAAATCATGGGGAAAACACTGTAGCAACTATAAGAAGGTATACTTGTGCAATAGAGAACTAGTGCCCAGCTTTGGAAGTGACATAATCATTGTATTTCCAAATCAAGTGGTAGACAGTGGGCAAAGGATAAAGCAGATTCCCTTTATGTGATCTTTCACGTGTGTAACCTTGTTTGGTTTTTTCAGTATACTGTGTGTTAGTTATTATTCATATCTTTTGATCTAATTGTTTTCATAATTAGTAGAAATTTTTACCAGATTCTGGCAATCTTGTTAGTCTAAATTTTTACTATTATTATTAATTTTACTATTATTATTTCTATAAATAGAAAATACTTATTAAGTATATATTTTGTGTCAACACTGATGTAAATGCTTTAAGTGTATTAACTCATTTAAGTTATAACAGCCCTTTTGTGGCATACTGTAATTATCACCATTTTATAGGCGGAAAAAATGAGGCATAAAGAAGTTGAACACTTGTCTAAGAGTACTTAGCTAACATATAGCACAGTCAGGATTTGAAGCCAGGAAGTCTATATATTTGCATAGTGCAGGTTTTTATCCTGTTTTTCTGCATCTTCATGGGCCTGCCCTTTCTCCTTCATTCCCTACTTCTCTGTTCCTTTTTTCTTAAGTTTCTTTTATGACTACATAAAAGATTATATCAGGAACTGGCAATGAGATACCATTCAAAAATATGACGTTTTTTGAGTTTTAGAATGTGGAATATTAAAAAAGTATGTATGTGTGTATATATTTTAGTTCTTTAGGTATTGCACTAAGGTGACTTTCTGAAATAAATTTTTAAATTTTCAAAAGTATGAATTTGTTTAGATTGCAAATTTATTGAACAGAAGTAATTTGTTCTTTGTAGTTCTTCCTTTATTTGCCTTAGGTGAACATTGGGCTGTGGCAGTAATGTCTAACCCTTTTGTGTAATCCTCCCTAAGCACCTAACTTAAACTAGGGAATGACTTGGCTATCAATAAGAATTAGATTCATTGGATTAGTGCTGCCAATATGGGCACCACTAGATAGATGGCTGTTGAACACTGGAAATGCAGCTGGTCTGGTTGAGATGTGCTAGAAGTATAAAACATACTCTGGATTTTGAAGGTTTAGTATGAACAAAAGAATATAAAATATCTCATTAATACTTAAAAATATTTATTATGTGTTGAAATGACAATAGTTTTGACTTACTAGATTAAATAAAATGTTATTAAAATCAATTTTTGACTGTTTTTTCTTTTTCTAATGTGACTATAAGACAATTAAAAATTACATATGTGCTTCATGTTATATTTTTATTGGGAATTCAAAATTGTATAAGGTATGGTACCTCTTCTCTAGGGGTCTAGTATGGAAGAAGACAGGCAATTAGAGTGGTGTAGTAAGTGCCAGATAGGAGCTCACGCATGGCAGACATCTAACTCAGTTTTGATGGCCTGCAGAAGGTGACCTTTAAGGCAGGGATAATACCTTGTTTTTTCTCCCTTTTACCTTTTTTTTTTTTTTTTTTTTTTTTTTTTTTGCGGTATGCGGGCCTCTCCCTGCTGTGGCCTTTCCCAGACGCGCAGGCTCAGCG